GAATAACTAAAATATTTCTAAAATACACTACTACTAGATGATTTACCCGCACTATGTGCGGGGAGAAATAGTTATATGAAATATATAAACAAGTTTTTGGAAACCGATTATATACTATCACTTGATATATAAGTATGAATATTTGAATATGATTTAGCAACTGATATATTTTGGAGATTTTATTAGTTAGGAATTAGGATATTCCATATTTGGAATAAGATTCTAAATTAAAATATTGACCAAAGTTTTTTTTTGAAATATCATTCCTATAATTCTGAAATATATTCGAATATTTTTTGTATTTTAATTAGATTTTATTTAGGAAACAATTCAATATAAAAACTGAAAAGAGTATGAATAAATGACTAATTAAATTGAATAAATAAATTGTAACTAAAATGAGTAAATGACTAATTAAATTGAATAAACCGTGTAAAAGTTTCAATAAATTGATAAGGTAAAAATTTGAAAAGAAATAATATTGAAAATAATGAGTAAGCGGATACATTTTTAACATAGATTAATATTAGAATATTGTTCATAGTGAATGTGTAATAAATGAAATGTTACTAACTAATTTATGTAAAACTATGTTCCAAATATATTTAAGAAACATATGGGCTCACCTATACATTTAGATGTTTTGTAATTTATAACAAAAAAATAGAATGTCATATATGTTAAAATTCTAAATGTTTTTTATAAAACATATAAAAAATATAAGTACAAAACATATAAAAAATATAAGTACAAAACATATAATAAACATTTATATTATATATTGTTCATCATGATTTATGCTATATACTTTTTACTTGTTTCGTCAATATATATAGTTTTTATTAATTAATTTCCTTTATTAATTGCTAATCTCTTAAATATAGAGGAAAAATATGCATAAGTACCACTGGCATTATATGTAATTAGTCTAGTAAATATTGGACAATTATTAAGTTTGCTGAGAGTTTCTCTGGTTGCGACATGTCAGCATGGCAGTCTTATAAATCTCATGTGAAGGTAAGGTTTTTTATTTAAAATGCTTCTCAATTAATATATAGGGGATATCTCCAAATCTAAAACCTACCAAGTCATTTAAAATGCTTAATCCAATATTGTATAGCCACGAAACGCCTGACTTGTTGCATAATTTTTTGTATTATCGAACTAAAAGATTAGAGGAAAAAAAATTGAAACAAAATTATGTAATATTGCTTGTTTTAATAGTATTGTAAGAGAGTTAAGTTTTTTAATAATTAGAACCCAAATATGTAACTGATAAATTTTTTTCTAAACCATATGAATTAAATAACTCCAAAAGATAATTTCTATCTTTTTTTTCTTCATAATCCAATCAATTTAAGTTTTAGTGATTCTCATGTCACAAATGTTCCTTTCACAGAAAAATAATCTACTCTGAAAAAAATGATCATAAAATCCGGATAAATCTCATTTGAGCAAAAAACTTGCTATAGACAGTCTATAATATATTTTCTAAATAATTTTTCTTATCTCATTCTCAATTCAAATAATTTTTGTAATACAATTTTTTTAGTATATATATTATATTTAATATTTGTGATTCTACATACAACTATATATAGAACATACTAATTTTTATGCTATTCAAGATTAATAGTTTAAATTGTTATTTTTAATTTAATTGATTTTATAATCTAACTTAGCGGTGTAAAAAATTTAATTTAATACATTTTCTCTAAGTTTAACCAATAACTGCAGTCATTTGTAATAAATTAGTTGGAACTTATGTTCAATTAATCATTTCACTTGTCATACTCACTTACATGCATATTAATAATAAAATTTTATATCAAAATATAGTTGGTTACAAAAATTAGTGATACTATCTAGTATCTACATACACAAAAATCCAAAAATCTTAATCTAACTATAACATCACATCATCTTCTCCCAACTTATTTACAACCCAGATATATAATACTTGAAAAATTAATGATACTTGAATGTTGTATTGGATTGTATCATTTATTACAAAAAAAAACTTATAAACAAAGTTGTTATTATACAACATTAATACTAAATAAAAATATAGAAAACTTATATGACATACTACATCTAGTATTCGAACTTCATATATACATCCAATAGATAGAACATATAATAACTACACAATGTTGAAACCAATTTTTTAGGTTGAATATATCAAAATGTTTCCAACTTTCTTGGTCCAAATTTTTACCATGCGATGTATAATGATTTTTTTGTCAAAAATACACAAAGATTTTGTATTATAAAAATAAAATATGTTGAAAAAAATTATTTGTAGAAAATATTTTTGATGCAATTTATTTAAATTATAACAGAAAAATCATATTGTAAGCACACTAGAAAAAATCAAAGAAAACAAAATTGTTGGAGTTAAAATGATATTCAAATAACGTCATTTAAATTAATTTATAAATATCATTAGTTAAAAAAAAATCCATCAAAGAAAAGAACGGAAAATACATAACTGAACGATGTTGTTTTTGAGAGCTATCATTCAAATGCGTTTTATATTTAAATATATGAGAGAATCGACGAACATTTAAACAAAAAAACAACAAAAGTGAAAATGTAAATATTTAATCAATATGATGTCTCATATACCTTAATCATTATGTGAACAAACGGTTATTCAGGAAATAGAATGAACCAACATTCATCGTGTAAACCTTCGAGTGCGCTATAACCGTTGTGTTTTTCTCTTCTACACACAACTTTCGAATCTTTTCTTTTGTTAATGTTTTTTGACCCCTGCGAATCTTAGCTTCCCTTCGAAAGGTTATTACCTCTCTTTGTTTGCTTTCTCTAAATGGAACACGAGAGCAAGACCGAAATGGATGGACTGAAAATGGAAAAAGGAAAGAAAGAAAATGAGTTGAGAAAAAGAGTTGAGATAATGATGAGAGAGCTGGCTAGGGTACTAAAAATGGTAGTTGCGGCAGTTTTCTTGCGACTCTACTTTGTTTCTCTGCTCTCTCATTTCTTAGCTCCTAAAACCGTGATTGTTTGGAAAAGAAATATCTTGAGGCCGACGTCTTTACTCGCAATTGTTTTTTACTTGTCAATTCTACTTTCATTGGTCTTGTATTTCTCCACTAAGTTGATATTTTATGGAGGTGACTTATATTGGAAAAAAAACATTTACAAGTTTGTAATAAAATAAGATCGTATCTAATCAATGCTCAAATGAAATGATTGGTTCGTAAAAATCATACAAAGGCAAGAACGAGGAAGTTATTATTAAAACGACATCGTTTTCCTGAGACAACATTAAAATTATTTCAGAGCCAAAGTAATGAGAAATAGACAAAACTGACGAAGATTTCAAAAAAAAAAAAAGAGATGCAAATTGTAAATATTTAGTTAATATTCCATGTTTCATTTCTTGGCCTTTGAAAAAAATTGAACGCTTCATCATTATTCTACATAGACACATTATTATTGAGAATTATAATATATTTGGCTGTTAATAGATTAAAAGTATTTTCAAGATCATAAATTATGAAAGATTTTCAATAATTGGAAATAAGATTGGAAAATCGTTTTGGATTCAAATTAATTTTTACAAATCATTAGTTCATAAAAGATTTCACAAAGGCAAGAACGAGGAAAACATCATTAAACGACGATGTCGGTTTTGAGAGCATAGAGATAATGGACAAAAATTTAAACCCAAAAAAGTAACCCCAAAAAATTGGGTATAAATATTCATCATTATTCTACATAAACATGCATAACTATTGAGAACTAATATATTATATATCCTGGGATGTTAATGGGTTACAAAGTTTTGAGATTATGCGAGATTCTCAACAGTTGGAAATGAGATTCAAAAAAAGTTTTGGATTTTCTAACTAGTTTCTACAAATCATTGGTTCGTAAAAGGTCTCAAGAAAACAAGAACGGCGAAGATGATATTAAACGATTTTTGTTTAGACACATCACTAAAACCTTTTGGATATAAAGTTATGCGAGAATAGAGAGAATTGACGAAGATATAAACCCAAAAGAAAAATCAAGATTGGAAAATATAGATATTGATTCAATATGTCTGTCTCATTTTTTGGTCTCTGTATAAGATTGAACAATTCATCATTATTCGAGACTCGCATAATTATTGAGAATTATTGTATATATATTTTTTGTTAATGGGTTATAAAAAAGTCATAGACTAAGGAGATTATGAGAGATGTTAAATAATTGGACATTCGATTGAAAATGAGATTGAAAAATTGTTCTGGAATCAAAATTATGAGATAATAGAGAGAACTGAAAATTAGAAAATGTAAATAGAGTGAATTGGCGCAGACTTAAACAAAACAAAAACAAAAAGATTAGGAAATGAAAATGAGATTCAAATGATGTTTTTATTCAAAATTATGTATGAATAAAGTGAATTTACAAAAACTTAAACAAATAAAAAAAACAAAAGATTAAAAAAATATAAATATTCAATCAATATTCCAAGTCTCGTATTTTGTTCTTTCAAGAATACTAGGATTTAACCCGCTGTATCCCGCGGGCGTAGATTTTGTGCGGTTTTCTTATTAAGTAGTTGATTATGTTTTATATACATAATTTATAAAATTGGTTTTTAAATTAAATCCTTTATAACTAATAAGTGGTATTTTAATTGGTTGGTTGTTATTTAATACTTAGAAGAATGTGATTTAATATATTTAAATAGGTGTATTAATTATAAAATGGGTTTGTAATGTTAATATAAGTAAAAGTAGATATTAAAATGTGAAATAGTAAAAGTGGTGTAATTGTTTTTGTGATTATAAGTGTTCTTTTACTATATAGTTTTGAAGAGAATTTGTTTTTAGCATAACAAAGATTCTAACATTTATAAAAAAATTTTAAAAAATTGAAGATAAAGTAAACAAATAAAATTAAAATTATGTTTTTAAAAAAATTAAAGACACATAAGTTGTGTATTTAAATAAATAAAAAAAAACAAAAAAAACAAAAAAAAAACATATGAGAACGATGATTCTCGTTCTCCACCGAAAGTTAACATCCATTGACATGCTTAAGCTTTACCGATGATACCGAAGAAGCTGATAATCAGATCATAAGCTCACATCAATAGACATGTTCTATGCGCCAATTCTTCTTAATTTGTAAGCTTCATTCTAATTCAATTGAATTGTTTCAAGATAATTTAGATTCTGTGATCAATTACCTTTTTCAGATTTCATATAGGATTCGGATAAAGCACTTGAGATGATGAATTTGTTTCTGTTAGAAATCTGGGAGAGGGGATCAGTGAAGAACAGAACCTGAATGAAACCATTTGCAGATCAAATTTTGCAAATCGACAACACTTAAAGCAATAATCATTTCTATAAGGTTAGTTTTGGATCTGTTTTTTCAGTTGTAGACACAAATTGAAGTTGTTGTTTGTCTCAATCGGAGTTATAATTGAACTAAGGTTTCTTGATTTTGTTGTCTAGAAATGAACTCTTAAACTTACACTACTGTAGTTGCAGAGAGTCTGATTATGTTTGGATTAAAATGACTATGGAAAGGAACTTGCTGTTCTTAAAAACAATACAAAACATCTACAAAGTTAAATAACAGAAGCAAAAAAACTAAAACTATCCTAATTCCTTAGGTTCTGAAAGATCTCTTTGAAGACGACATTCATTGTTTGACTCTGAGTTTTTCCTTCTTTATCCACAATAAGAACTTTCAAACCTTTTTTGGAAGTGACTCTTGATAAGGCAACATACAGCTGGCTATGAGAAAATACTGGTCTAGGAAGATAAATCCCTACCTCTTTAAGTGATTGTCCCTGGCTTTTGTTTATTGTCATTGCAAAAGCCACAGATATTGGAAACTGTCTTCTCCTCATGCGAAAAGGCAATTTGGTATCTGAAGGTGATATCTGAGATTTAGGGATTATCACTTTGTCTCCGATTCTATCTCCAGTAATCACTTTGGCTTCAAGTATATGATTACCCATCTGCGTTATCTGCAATCTAGTACCATTACAAAACTACTTGATGTAAATATTAATATAAATATTAATATTCAATCAATATTCCAAGTCTCGTGTTTTGTTCTTTCAAGAATATTGAAAGATTCATCACTATTGTACACAAACACCGTATAATTATTGAGAATAATTATATTTTTGGCTATTAATGGGTTACAATAGTAATAGAGACTATGAGATTATGTGAGATTCTCAATAATTGGAAATGAAACTGAAAATACATTTTGGATTCATATTAATTTTTATAAATATTGGTTCGCAAAAAACCCCAGAAGACGAGAACGAGGAACACATCATTAAATGACGTCGTTTTCGAGAAACATCATTAGCAATGTTTTGGATTCAAAGTTATGAAATAATAGAGAGAATTGAAGAAACTTTAAAACCCAGAAAAGAAAAAAAAAAGAGTGAGAAATATAAATATTTAGTCAATATTTTAAATCTCCATTTTAGTCTCTAAAAACGATTGAATGATTCATCATTATTTTACAAAGAAATGCATACATATTGAGGAATATTATATTTTTGCTGTTAATGAGTTACAAAAGTTAAAGCTTAAAAAAATCTTTTTTAACCCCATATGGAACTAGTTCCAATACCAAATTCCCTTGTGAAATTCAGAGAAATATTGGTGAGAAATCCTAAAATCATACTACTTTTTTTGTCAAAAGGATTTCATATTTATGATAGTTTTAGGATCATGGATACAAATACATACTACTTAAATGTCAAAAGAGATAAATTTGGCAAACTATTATATCAAGTAGATGAATATCCACACTACGTGTGGGTTTGTTTTGAAAATTGTTAAGTAAAAATTATGTTGAATGTTTTTGTTGCTATTTTATATTCTTTTTTGTTTGTTTGTTATCGTGTAGTTAATAAAATTAGATCCATCTTATGTAGTTCTAATTTTGATGTAGTTACAATTTTATGGTTAAATTTATTTTTGACTTGAAATATCAATTTATACATTTTCATGTATAAATCTAATTATTTATATATCTAAGATCCTAATATTTTTTCACTATCATGATTAAATACAACAATAATATAAGATATTTTGATACAATGATATATAATTATGCTACTTGTGTGGTTTGAAACTTGCCTAACTTGATTATAAAAAAAAATCATGCTTAATGTATTTTCATGATCTAGTACTCCGACCACATGATGATAGGTTCATGGTTAAATACTCGGTTGACAAAAATTAAAAAGTCATTTAAGTCCGCACTTTTAAATCTTCTGCCATTGCATATAGCCATATAAAAGAAATAGTCGTAATTATTTGGTGTGTCTAACATCTGAAAGACCCATTATTTGAAAAAAACTTGCATGTTAATATTACCAACTTACTATAAGATAAAAAAAGAAAAAAAATAGAAGGTCATATAATAAGTCGTATATGAACAACAAAACGTAATTATGAAAAAAGACTCAAAGTAAAATTACTAAACTAATAAGAGGTTAGGTAGCAAACAAGTAAACTACAACACAAATAAATTTTCTGTCATTACTCTCACCACTGATAAAAAAACAAAATTTAGTAAAATGAAACTAGTGCTTTGATTTATTAAAATAATTTTGTAATTTTCATTTTATTTTGAAAAAAATGAGTTAAAAGTAGGATTGATGGATAATTTTTACTTTTTTCTCATTTAATTTTGCTAATTTAAAAAAAAAATAATTTAGAATAATACATGTCGTTTTTTAGTGATATGATGTGACACTCATATGGAGAGAGTTGTCCAACTTTTATATATATGATTTTCGATCTTCTTCTCATTTTGAAGTCAAATAATAATGTTAGTTTTATTATAAAAGAAAAAAAAAAAGAATCATCGTTACATTTCATTTTCACTTTTATTCATTTGGCCTTTACATCCACGTTGTATGACTCGAGAAACTTTGTAACTAATTTGTGTTTTCGCGTGACTTCATAAACTTAGTAACTTTCTCTACTAAATAAGTAAGAACAATATTTTGATTCACCCCTAGTGGTAAACTATTGTATTCACCTCCTCTAACTTTAGTTAATAAGATTGTACCATGTCATATAACATTTAAATATAAATTAATATGTAAATAAATATAACAAATTAGGAAAACAAACCATCAACAAAAAATATTAATTTGTAGTTGTCCAAAAGCCCACTTCTTTCTGTTTGCTCCACCCCGGTGAACTCTACCCGCAGGAGTCCCACTGCCGTTAGCACTTTTTTAGTACTCCTTGAACTAATTTCTAATTGTTTTCGCGAATATGGCTCTTTTCCGGTGCGAGCTAGCATGTCTATAGTTTATCCGAGTATCTACGAACCTGATACGGAACGGAGGAGGGGCAACGTTTCTCTATTTAGGTTTTTGATTTCATTCTCCTCTTCCCTATAGCCATACAAAGCAAATAGCTTTGAAACCAGAAATAAATCTTAGATTGGGCTTACATGGGCTTTAAATTCACTTTATTACATGGGCTTTGAAACAATAAATCATACGAACACGTGACATGTAATAATCATAAAATATCTTCAGTTAAAAAAAATATCAAACCCTCTCTCGAAGTTTCCTTCTCCTCCTATAACTTCCATCTCTCTCTCCTACGAAGATATTTTTGTTTCATTCTCTTCTCCATCCACTAAAGCTCTCCGAATATTTTTCTTCTTCCAATTTACAAATTTCCGATGCTGTGACTGTCAAATTTAACGTCTGAGAACAGAGAAACACATCACAATCTTTGAAATCACAGTGCGACGGAGACGGAGGAGCGATTTTCGAAAATGGCGTGTGAAGGTGGAGGATCTAACAACAGATCTAGCTACTACAACGTTCTCGGAATTCGTAAAGACGCCTCCGTTTCCGATATCCGTACTGCTTATCGTAAGCTAGCCATGGTACTCTCTATTCAATCGCCGTCAGTTTTTGATCGGAGAATTTTTGTTATGAAACTGAGAATTTTGGTTTTTTCTTTTTTTTGGTGAAGAAATGGCATCCAGATAGATATGCTCGGAATCCTGGAGTCGCCGGAGAAGCTAAACGTCGGTTTCAACAAATCCAGGAAGCCTATTCTGGTAATTTCACATTTTTTTTTCAAAAATATCTTATTAACGTCCGTTTATTCTTGTCGTTATCTTTTAACGTCCGTCTCACGTTTTTTTTTTTTTAACAGTTTTGAATGATGAGAATAAGAGGTCAATGTACGATGTTGGGCTTTATGATCCTCTTGAAGATGATGACGATGTTCGTAACACATTTCTCTTTGATTTTGGAGAACTTGAAAACGACGTCGTTTAGTGTTTTGCAAAATTTCGATATATTTATTTTGTTTAAGAATTTACTATTTTCATCCCATATTTTGACCTAAATGTTGTGATTTAGGACTTCTGCGATTTCATGCAAGAGATGATCTCAATGATGAACAATGTCAAAGACGAGGTATGTCCTGTTCGATTCCTCATCGACACCGGTTAGAATTTGCGGTTTAGTGTATCACCACCCGGTTTAACGACTTTGACAATTGGTTTATAAAATAGTTAAATAGACCACACAAAATGTTTAGTCAATTTTTCTATATGATTTGGGTTTAGACCGGTTAGAATTCAATTATGGCGTCCTCGATTAGTTGAAGAAAGATTTGGTCAACAAATGTGTAAACTAACATGAACCATAAATTAAGTTAAACCAGGAAATAATCTTCTGGTTATTTACATTTGTAGATTGGTTTTAACCAACCGGTTTGGTTCGATTTTGATGAATAGGGAGAGAGTTTGGAAGACTTGCAACGAATGTTCACGGATATGGTTGGTGGAGATGGCGTGAACTTTGACTGTAACAACAATCCAAAGGCCAGCAAAAGACCACGTGTCAATGTCTCTAGGACTAGTGCTGCGATGCGTTAACGCTTACTTCTTTGTGTGTATGTATCGTGTTGTATCAAAATTTTCAATTCCATTTTCAATTGTCTAAATAGACCCCAAGTCCTTAAAATAAATTATCTCTGAAAACCAACTAGAACTAGTTTAGAATTCTTTTTTGACGCGTATTGGTGAAGTTACTTTTGTTTCCCACATGTCCCAATCACAAATGTAGGCCTGGGCGTTCGGATATTCGGGTCGGGTTCGGATCGGGTTTTTCGGGTTCGGGTTTTTTGGATTTAGAAAACTAAGACCTGTTCGGGTATTTTAAAATTTCGGGTTCTGATCGGGTATTTCGGGTTCGGTTTACCCGAAGTATCCAAATATTAGAAATTTTGTATCTAATTCTATGCAAAGTATTGAAAAATACTCAAAAATCTATAAAACCCAAATATTTGATACCCGAATCTAGCCCAAAGTAGCTAAAACATCTAAAATATCTTAACATCCGAATAATTTAGGCACTTAGGTTATTACAAGTATAAATATTACTAATATATTATAACTATGTATTTATATTTTAGGTATGTTCGGGTACTTGTTCGGGTTAGGGTTCGGGTCGGATTCGGATTTTCGGGTTGTGAAGTTTAGAACCAATTCGGATATTTTAAAACTTCGGGTTTGGTTCGGTTTGGGTTTTTTGGATCGGGTTCGGTTCGGTTCTTCAGGTTCGGGTATTATGCCCAGGCCTACTACACAAATGTATCTCCTCTCGATTTGGTTATGAACTCATTAAATAAATATTCCAAAAATTGTTGATTTGATACTACCAATCTCTTAGAGGATTGTTGATTGACAAAATGAACTTTTTTTTTGTAATCAAAATTGAAGCCTTGTGTTCAACTTTTAATTGCACCACCAACATCATCCTGATCTCAACATATTTTGGTATAAAAAGACAACCAATATCCTTACTTTTGACTTATGGAGGGATCAAAGCAACGTTTCTTCAAGCAAATCCTTCTGTTTTAAAAGAGTTAACATTACCGAGCGATGTTCTTCTAATCAAGCTGTTTAGTCCAATCAAAGTGTTCCCATTCACGAGCAAAGCTCACAACCGCCTTCTTCTGGCTCTCCACCGACTCCTGCCTTCTTCGTCTATACATGTCTTCTTCTGGTAACTCGAGCATTCCTCTGATAACATTTAGTCCAAGATTGCTATTGAACTGTTGTTCATCATCAATCACGTGAACAAACCCTTTGTCTAGACCAAACTCAACGTGGAAGTAAGGGAAATTCTTGGGTATACAGTTTCTCAGACCCTTTACGCTAGTGTCTATGAGCTTCTTTGCATTGTGCTGACTCCATTCACTCTCTGCTTCATCGATCGCCTTCTTGAAGTATAGTGGACCTTCTTTTGCTATCTCCTGGGGGATTGGGATACACTCGATCAAACAGTGGCGACGTTGCTGAGACAAACCTATCACTGTCTCCAGAAACACTGCGTCTTTTCCTTCTTTTGCATACATCATTATAAGACACTTCTTGAAATTACGAATTTCGTCCCAAACATTGTCGTCAACACTTCTGCTGGCTGCCTCGTGCTGCATTGGCAAGATACAGCAATGTCCTGGGACAAGGGGCTGATGTTGTGGTAACATCAGATAGGTGAAGTTTGCAATGGACACAACTAAATGTTTCGGCCGCTTTGGGTTCTCAAAACAGAAGAGACAGCGTTCTTGCTGGGTCATAATGCGTTTCACACGGTTGTCCTTTTCAGGAATGTTACTGGACGATTCCCGCTTCCGGGACTTTTTGCTTGGAGCATCTCCATATTCATACTCATCATCAGCAGCTTGATTAGATGTTTTGTACTGTTTGTTCTGCATTATGCTCTTGACTAGATGCATATCCGTATTATCATCTTCATTCTTCCTTCTACCAGACATATCTTTGACAGGATATCTAATGAGTACGAAAAAGAGAAATTTTAAAATCAGAACGATTTGACAAAAAACAAAAAGCCCTAAACAGCTCAGAAATAAAAATAAACTAAACTTACCTCACTGCGGTTCTGATGGAGTGGTCTTTGGATGAATCGTCTCCACCAGCTTGTTCTGCTTTCAGCCTCTCTGCTTCTTCCTGTGAATTATCAAGAGAATTCATTTCAGAAGTAAGCAGGAAAAACAGTTGAACTAATCATACTTGGCAATGAGTTCGAAAAAAGACTGCACCAGGCAAGTGAATGATTGGGAATTAAAAATTTATTGTCTCACCATAAGTTTCTGGGCTTCTTCATGTTTCCCTTTCATACGGAGCTGGAAGGCTTTAGCAGCCAGTTTATTCACACTTAAAGTTTCCATACTCGGAAGAATCCCTTCACCATCCTTATTGGTCTCTGACGGTAATGCTTTCTGCTCCACATCATTTCTGTGATCTCCACAAGTCTCTACGGGAGACACTGATACATTCTTCTGCTTAGAAAGCATTTCCTTCATGAAATTTCCGTCATTGGAAAACTTATTCAAGTGAGCTGCAGCTTCAGATATTAGCCTCGAGTCTTCGTTTCTATGAGTTTGGCTCTTTCTCTTTCCCCAGGATAATGAAGGGTCAGTTTTGGGGGCTCTCAATACACGATGGTTCAACGAGTCACCTTTCAAATACTCCCGATTATTACCCTTCAAATAAAATATGTCACGAAGTCAGAATATTAGCCGTCATAATTCCCAGTATGAAACAGTACTAACCTTATAGAAAATCAAAAGTAACCTAGCAGTTCAAGTACCTTCTCAGAAATTCTTTCTGGTTTTTTTTCTGTATCATTCTTTTCATTTTCCCCTCTTCTTCTATTATTTATGGCATTCAAATGCGCACGAGATGGAGCCGCTCTTTGAGATGCCACAGACTCAACAAGGTTACCAAGAGAACCCCATCGTTCGCCAGCAACCTGCATAACCGTCAAATGATAAGGCAATACTCAAAGGCCAAAGAGACTATAATAAATCGTAAATATATACAAAACTTACTTCCTCAAGCTTTTGCCCTTCTCTCGCAGCCTGTTCCTTTGCACGCTTGAGTGCTTTCATTCTCCAACTCGCACCCCCATCCCCAACAACCGAAGATGGTAAAAGCTGGTCTTTACCATGTTTTTTCTCAGATTCTTCCTCTGGATAACCGGTTCCATTTTCTTTCAAATAAGGATTTAGTTCCCTTGGGTTCACTTTAGTTACCTGGTCGAGAAAAAAAGAAGCATTAACTTAACAATCTAATAGAGAATTGTTAGAAATAAACTCTCAAATCAAAATTCCCTCACCTCAGGTGCACTTTCTTCGAATTTATCCTCTACATCTGAAGCAGGGTTTGGATCAGCCTTTCGGGTTGGCGGCAGCATCCAATCGAGACCAATTTTCTTTCTAACTATATCCCCTTCAAGAAAGTCATCATGAACGGTCTCGCCATCTCCACTCTTGGCAATCTTCTTCCCATCTCTCTTACTTCCTTCTCCCCTACGTTCCTTTCTATCAACGTCCTTGTTCTTTCTTCTTCTATCCTTCCCACCTTTGGATTTCTCATTTTCCCCATCCGAACTATCATCAAGCACCTAATAGCAAAGAAAATTAACATCAAACTCAATCCAAGATGAACAAATACAAAAGAAAATTCAAAAACATATAAAACTAGAATCTTTACTTCATCACGAGGTATGATCTTTATGCCAGAAAACATGTTAACAATATGCGTCGAAGGTCCCAGTGACTTCTTCCTGTTGAAGAATAATCAACAGACTTCCAAAAAGTAGAGCGAAGCAAACTTCAAACCTAAACAAATAAGAAAACATAACAGAAAACAAATTAGACAATGTCATAGCCATGATACTGTAAACAGAACAAGATCCGGAGATCGACAAAATCAATAATAAACAAAAGCAAGATGTAAGAGAAACTATAATACACAAGGCACATACTTCGACCAAGCAAATCTCAGCCACAAATACTTCAATTCTACAATCCTCTAAGATAAAGTTACTCTACTGCATAAGCAAAGATTCAGGACCAGACAAAATCAGAGTGCTACTATACCACAAAGCGAACATAATTCAGTCATACATGCATGTATAGATTATGTATGCCTACAAAATCTCAAATCTCATGCCATTTTTCAATTACTATTAAGGCATATTAAGCTAAAGCAAGAACAAAGACCATTAAGAGAACAAAACAACTGGGAATAGGTTCAAGATTAGAGCGTTCAATTACAGTAGCAACAACTAAATATTCTTATAATAAAGTCTTTCCACAAACATTTGTAAAGAATTTTTAACCAAAATTCATATGCTAAGTAGCTTAAGATAAACCAAAATTGCACCAAAATTGCTAGCCTAAGCTAGAAACACAGATGAATCAAACCCTTAAATCATAACTACAATCATTAATGTGTGAATCTAATTTGCTGCAAATAAACCCCAAAGACAAAACCAGAGACAAATCCACCTTGAACGACAAATACAAAGGGGTTTCTTCATGTTCTATCAAATCTCAATTCTCAATCAGCTCTAAACAAAATCACAACCCAGAAACCAAAAATCAAAAGAGATGAGTTATTACCCAAGTTTAGACAACCCAGAAATCAAAAAAATCAAAACCCAGAAACTAAAATTGATGAAATTTCACACAAAGAAAATATATGTTTAATGGCTTCATATCGCTTAAGTAATACAAAGAGAAGATAAACGAACCCGACGGTGATTTTGAGAGTGATGAAGCTTTAAAGCAGTGAGTGACGAAATCCCATAAAGTAACTTCAATGGAAACGCAACACGACGAACAATAAACTGTACTTCGATTTGAACCAAATTGGAGAATTTAAGAAACTAGAGAATTGAAACAGAGAGCAATCTTAAGCGAAGATATCTCCTTTATCTTTGTTAATGAAGAATGAAGAACTAATTCTTAGGAAACTTACCGGAGAAAACGAAGAAGAAGACAGCTACTCCGGCGATGGATGTTGATCTCTCTCTGTTCGCAAGAAAGAAACGATATGCTCTGTTTGATGATTTAGGGCTCCAGAAAAAAATAAGAAATTAAAAAAAATCATAAAAAACAACGAACCGGATTGTAAACCAGGCGAAACATAACGAACCGGGATTTGGAATTCGATATCCACTCCATCATTTCTGAAAAAGTGAAAATTGATATTGATAAAACGACGAACCGGGGCTAATATGTCCTCTTTGTTTAGGATTGAAGACCTCTCTTCTAGGTCTTAGGTGGAGCTTTCACTTGAAGTTGGATTGAGTTTGTCTCTTGATGAATCCAGTTTAGTTGCATCGGTTTTATCAGTAGAAAGATGGTTATAATTCGTGAATTCAAGCCTTCATTCGTCACCGGCGGAAAGAAGCAGAGATTGACTTCAGATCTATGTCGGCGGCGAGAAGAAATATGGTGGGCCCTCTTGATTTGCTTTTATCATACACGTATTCTATACGTGTTATTTTTGTATGTGGGTTTCCCTATATTGGGCTTTATTAAGGCTTGTAATCACGTATGTAATCTGCCCTATATGGACTTTATGTATTTTTCATAATATCTAATGGAAATTGGCCGACAAAAAAAAAAGCGGAAAAATAAAGAAACCGGGATTTAGAATTCGATAACCAGTTCATCATGTTTGAGAATCGAATATACCCGATAAAAATGATGAACCGGGATTTAGAATTCGATAACTGGTCTATCCATGTCCAAAGAATCGAATATACCAGATAAAATGATGAACCCGGATTAAGAACCGGACTAAAAATAACGAACCGGGAATTGGAATTCGATAAACGGTCCATCTTTGATAATCGATATTTACCAGATAAAACAACAAACGGTCCATTTTTGGTTGTTTGTTAGTTTCCCTCTTTTGAGCTCTTGTCTTCGGGGATATCACTATTTTCCGCCGACTTATCTTATCGGGGATATTAACTCTTTCCGCCGATCGTTGTAGCTTTCGAAAGTTTAATATTATTATTCAGAGGAAAAAAAAAAAAAAACCTGACGAAAAACAACGAACCGGTATTTTGAATTCGAGAAACGGTCCATCATTAAAATCAATAATATCAGATAAAACGACGTACCGGGACTAATAACCGGAAGAAAAACAACGAACCGGGATTTGGAATTTCGACAACCGGTCTCTATCATTTCTGAGAAATCGATATAATAGTCCTCATTCACAACGCACTTTCTCTTCCTCTCTCCTCCTACCAAGAAATCATCGTCTTCTTCTTCATCTATTAGGATCGATCCGGCTTGAGATTTATTACAATTTGCTCCAAGATTCAGAAAATTTCGTGGGCAAAAGATGGACGCTGATTCCAAGAGATTTCTAGCTACGCTTCGATCCCGATCTGGTGAGAATTACAGTATCTTTATGTCAACTTTGATCTTAACTTGTTATTTTGATTTTGTTAGCTCTCAAGTAAAGAAATTTCATTTAAAAATACAATCTTTTTTATCACATGAGTTTGATTCAATGTTTTCTTGATTTTGGTCCAAGATCAAGACTTTTTGTAAATGTTTTTGTTTGTTAGTTATGTAAGTGAAAGAACAGTTTTATTCATCTTTAAGTTTCTGGATATAGTTTGAGCTATGTAAGAGAAGCTCTTGAACTTGTTGTGTTTATGGAGCTGTAATAGATGTTTTGCTTCTGAATAAGACAGTGAAACTTGTTGTTCTTATCTATAACAAGAAGGTTAGGTTCCAATTTCTCAGTCCTATTTTCTTCATAGATCTTTAGGTATTGGTTTTAAGTTGTTTCATTTGATTGTAATTAAGTTGTTTCATCTAGAGGAATGTTACCTTTAAGCTTGCTTTGTATTTGATTTATGGGTATTATTTACCTTTAAGTCTAGAATTTGGTTTTAGAGGTTTGATTGATTCAGCAGGTTGTCTCTTAAAGTCTAGTTTTGTTTTTCTTTCATATTGTTGTTACTTTTCTAGACGAATTTTTGTGCTTTGTACCAGTATCATGCTCGTAAATTTATATGATATTTTATGTTTGAAAATGCAGAAATGTTAATGGGCTTTGAAGAAATAGATGGAGATGATGATTTCCAGGAGGAGTTTGCTTGCCCGTTCTGTGCAGAATCGTATGATATCATCGGTTTGTGTTGTCACATAGATGATGAACATACTTTAGAGTCAAAGAACGCGGTATTGCTCTCTACTGGTTTATACAATCAAATCAACTTGGAATTCAATAGTTTTAGCAAATGTGTACATTGGATCTTAAGATGAGTGAATCCGTTATTTTGCAGGTGTGCCCTGTTTGCTCTCTAAAAGTGGGAGTTGATATCGTAGCGCACATAACGCTTCACCATGGGAGTTTATTTAATATATCCTTTGTATTCATTTTCTACACTTGCATATTTTCTTAGTTCTTACCATGGAATCATATTACTCTGTTGAATTCCTTAATGAGTTTTACTTGCAGCGAAAGAGAAAGTCACGGAAAAGTGGTACCAATTCGACACTTTCACTTCTTCGGAAAGAGCTAAGAGAAGGAGATCTACAGAGGTTGTTAGGATTTACTTCTCGAAATGGTTCTGTTGCATCAAGTGGAACTCCCGATCCTCTCCTGTCGTCATTTATCTCACCTACACGATCACAGAGTTCTCCTGTGACACGCGAAACCAAAAAAGTATCCGAGGAGAAACAGATAGAGCGGTATAGATTCTATATTAGCTATTTTATTAGATTATAGAGTTTTTGAAGGTTTAGTCTTTGATTAGCATTGAACTTGTTCAGCAAGAGACAAGTGTGCATCTCACCGGTCTCATCAAAAGATCGGGAAGAGAGGAGGCAAAAATCAGAGTTTGTTCAGAGGCTCTTGTCATCAGCCATTTTCGATATGGTCTAATCAAATCAAACACAACGATCGAGAACACAAAGGAAGTAAATCTACAGATTCAGACTTCAGAGAATCTGGTAAATATGAAGCTCTGTTACTTGTGTAGCAGAACCCACAGACACATTTTCATCGGAATCTTGATTCAACTGTGTGTAGGTTTCGAGAAAAAACAATGGTTGGGATGAGAAGAAGACGGAGAAGAGCGAGATGCAGCTATGTTATCTATATCTATATCTATCTATGTATTGTGTATGTTTTTAAGTATAACCAGAAGAAGATGCTACTGAATACATTGCGTAGAATTGTGTTTTCTTATGTTTATTAAGCCATTGAAAAATAAGATAGAGGAAGAAGAATAAGTCCTCTTGTCTGTAGCATAAACCCAATTGGTTTTCTTGTGTTGTGTGTGTTATGAAATAAAAAATGTTCACTCTTGTAAGCTAGTTAAAGAGTGTTTAAGAAACCACGTACGAAGTCATCTATTTAAGATAATAATTCAACAATATTGTTAACTTTTGGTATGTTTAGAGTGGTTAATGATTTTGCCATGTTGTTTTTAGTACTAGGGTTAAGTAGTCAGTCAATGGTTAGAATTAGACTTACAGCTGGGTAAAATTCCCGAACCGAGCCAAAATTCCTGAACCCGAACACAAGCCAAATTATAAAATCGAATAAAAGAAAAATTACATACAAAATGTGGACACCACTTCTGACATCCCTAAACCATAAACCAAATGTTAAGGTTTCTCGCAATTATCATGCAAAACTTCTGATATATATTTTTTTGAGAAATTGTTAAAAATGCTCATTTTTCAATACCTTTTTTCAAAAATGCCTCTTTTGAGAGTCCATTTTTAAGTTTGTCTTCTTTTAAATTTTAATGACCATTTTACTTTTATTTGAAACAAAATTAGGTCTACAAAATACAAAATATTTTTTGGCGGGAAAAGTGATCCCGCAATTTTCCCGCCAAAACACTTGTAAAAACTTGTAAAACCTTTAAAATACCTTGTAAAATTTGCTCGTAAAAATTTTTCCCGCCAAAAAAAATTTTTTGCGGGAAAAGTGATTCCGCAATTTTTTGACGAAATTTTTTTGGCGGAAAAATTTTTGGCGGGAAAAATTTACAAGGCATTTTAAAGGTTTTACAGAGTTTTTACAAGTGTTTTGTAAGGTTTTACAATGTATTTTAAAAGGTTTTACAAGGTACTTATAAAGTTTTATAAGATATTTATAATTTGTAAATCCTTATAAAAAACTTGTAAAACCTTATAAAATAGCTTGTAAAATCTTATAATATCTTATAAATACCTTATAAATACGTTGTAAAACCTTTTAAAATACATTGTAAAACCTTATAAATACCCTGTAAAAAACCTTTAAAATACCTTGTAAATTTTTCCCGCCAAAGATTTGACGCAAAAAAAATTGCGGAATCACTTTTCCCGCAAAAAAAATTTTGGCGGGAAAATTTTACAAGGTATTTTAAAGGTTTTACATGTTTCTACAAAATCAAATTTGTAATTTTGATGTGTGCACATTCTCATGTTTTCCTTATATATTTGTGATAGGGTTGGGCTTTTAAACCGAACCGAATGTACCGAACCAAAACCGAAGCAAAAAAAAAACGAACCGAACCGAACCGAAAATTTGAAAATAACCGAATGGATACTAAATTTGATAACCGAAATAATCGTAACCGAATCGGTACCGAACCGAAATATTTCGGGTAACCGAAATACCCGAAATACAATTATATTTTAGAAATAATTAGTTATTTATTGACCAAATAATCAAAAATACTTGAAAAATCTATAAAAATAGTAAAAATACTCAAAAATAACCCAAAAATATCCAAAAATATTCAAAAAAACTCAAAAATAACCGAAATATCCGAAAATATCCTAAACAAAATAACCGAATGGATACTAAATTTCAAAACCGAAAGAACCGGAACCAAACCGAAACCGAACCGAAATTTCAAAATATCCGAATGGATACTAAATTTTAAAACCGAAAGAACCGAAAACCGAATGGACCCAACCTATAACCGAAAGCCCAGGCCTAACTTGTGATATCTTTTATTAAAAGAAGGGTAATTTTGTCATTTTGTACATAAAAAGGGGTATTTTTAAAAATAGACAGCTAAATGGGGCATTTTTGAAAAGGGGTATTGAAAAATGGGCATTTTTGTGAGTCTCCCTATTTTTTTTTCAACAAAATTAGATTAGCTTATACAAGCCAATGTTAAAGAATATTGTTTACATAGTAATAATATTTTTGAAACAATTTTGAGGTTCTTTTAAATTTTTTAAATATTGCGAGAAAAATACTAGGAATCGCTGTCAATTTCTCTGTCAATTTTTTTTCAGATTTTTCAGGATACAATATTTTGATGAAAATTTTAAAAATTTTATAGAAAATTTTAAAAAATTTGCGAGAGAGTTGCTAGGGATCCCTCACAGTTCTCTTAAAAAAAATCATTTGTGCGGCAAAATGTTTTGGTGAAAATTCAGTTTTTCGCAGCATAAATGTTCCGTAAAATTTTCAAAATTTTTAGTGCAAAATTTTTTTAGTGTGAATTTCAATTTTTTTGGGCAAAACTTTTTTTGCTTTGAATCAACCATTTATTGTTTCATCTCAAATTCATTCCTCATCTCATATGTTTTTAGTTTATAGTAGATATTTGAGAATTATTAGTGAAGTTTGAAAGGATATTGCTAGATTTTTATTGTATAATTCTTCAGTTTATAGTAGATATTGAGAATTAGTAGGATTTGTTTTGAAAAGGTATTTTAAAATTTTTGTTGCATAATAGCCTGGAGTGATAGAATTGATTACAAATATGTGGTCATCGTATTTATTAGCTAACTTTTTTTATGTAATTATAGATATGTCGTCATAAGGTCGAACAAGGAATGAAAACATGGATCCTCCCGCACCAAGGCGGAATACAAACACGGACGATGTTTATCCTCCAATACGTAGACGGATATCTTTTAATGATTTGAGTTTTATTTAAAATTCTTATTACTATTCTAATTTTTAACTATTCAATTTTTTTTAATTATATAATTTTAAAATAACATATGCACTATTTGAATAAATATACAAATAACTCTAGTTAATCTTTTAAAAGTATTTATTTGAATATATTTACCATTTTAAATTCTTGGTAGATATCAGAAAAGTATTACCCTTTTAAAAGTATTTATTTGAATATATTTACCATTTGAATTTATTGGAATTATTGGTAGATATCATAAATTTGTCTCTCTTTTTTAAAAAAAGTATTGTGTTGCATATATTTTTTGTGGTAGATATCATAAATTTGTCATGTTTTTTATTTACCATTTTTTCAGTGTTATTTAAATGATTGTAACTAATCATAGAAAAACCTGATCAAAGGTACACTCCTGAAGAAAAAAAAACATTGATTGAGTTATATGATGAAGCTATAGCTTTAAACAATTATATATTTAAAGATCCGGGACAACCGGGATGAGCATATATTGTTCGTAAGTTCAACGAAAAAATCAATGAAATCATGAAGTGGACAAATTTAAGATGAAAATTCGATGAGTGGAAGAAACAATACAAAACATGGGTCCTTTTACAAGGTAAGACTCGTATAATGGTAGATCCCATCAGTGGAAGAATCGAAGCTTCAAATGAGTGGTGGAGTGAGAAAAAAGTCTTTGACTACATAAAGACGCCTACGATACAAGAGCTACGTAGGATTCCACAACATCTTCAAGCAGATCGATGATGTTGGCCCTTTTTTAGTGGATTTATTGGGGAAATGGATAGGACTCATGTATGTGTTAAAGCTAAGCTCGGATTGCAAGTCATGTATTGGTAGACATGGAAAGAACAAGCTTCAATGTAATGGCAATATGTGATATGATTATGTTATTCACATATGTTCGGAATGGAACACCAGGTTCATGTCACGACACAAGAGTGCTCTCACTCGCTTAAATTGGTAAATCCTGAATTTCCATTGCTTCCTGAAGATACATATTATGTGGTAAATTCGGGGTAGCCAAATAAGCAAGGCTTCCTTACAGATCAACACGGAATCGGATTGTGAGATATCACTTGTCACAGTTTAACAATGGTTCTCCGCCAACAAATAAAGAAGAGTTATTTAGGTCTCATGCATCTTTACGTTCCATTATAGAACGAACTTTTGGAGTATGGAAGAAGTGTTTGAATTTGTTTCGGTTTATAACGATTTATAAAACTAATCACAAATTCAATTGCCAGGATTCGTATAAATATTGAATTAAATATATGTCATCAGTTTATGAATATACCTGGTTAATTCGTAGCGTAGGATTCGAGTCGTTAGACTTAAAATCTTTTGGTACTAATGTTATAGACTGGTATTTCTTGGTAAATAACATAAAGCTCATTCTCTAATGGTGCACTACCATAAAATATATCATCACGATCAAATGAACAACATTTGTTCTTGATCGAAAATTGGAAACCTTCCATGTCTAAACATGAAACAGAGATGATATTCTTATTTATTGCAGGAACATAGTAGCAATTATTAAGTTCCAATACCATGCCTGAAGGTAAAGACAACTGATAAGTACCTATAGCCAAAGCAGCAACTTTTGCTCCATTGGCAACACGTAGGTCTACTTGTTCTTTCTCCAAAGTTCTGCCTTTCAAATTTGTACAAATGTGAGCACCACAGCCGGTATCTAATACCCAATGAGTATATACCTAGAGAAGAAATCTCAAAAGTCTTCTTTTCTCTCAGATCTTCTAGGTATTTCTCAGGAAAGTTGTTTTTGAGGGTGAAACTCTTTTCTTCCCTAGTGAGAACATTTCTCGAAATTTCATACCAATCAAGGAGGTTTGATCTACCCAATTTGTCATTCTCAATGACATATTGAGATGAATTTGAATTGTGAGGGTTTGACATCATTGTATCAAAAGAATAGCAAATGTTAATATGATGTTCATGAAATTTGAGGAATCTTACCAATTAAGAAAACTCATACTATACTCAAAACAATATTTTCCTCAAATGAGCATAGTAATCCCAAATCTTTATTTTACTAAAATTCAAGTGAGCTTTGGCTGATCGCCCGAATGTTTAGTTATTTAGGTAAGGAACACCTTTGCTAATTATATCCAATATAACTCTTGGTTGTTAGATGACATCTTATATCTTACCCTTTTTTTTTTTTTTTTTTTTCATCATGTCTTATCCAACATATGTCTCTAAGCCTAAAACCGTTTTGATAGCTTAGTCAAGTAAACCAATCTTTTACTCATATGGTAACCATTAACATCTGTCTTATTTATGTAATTGTGGACACCCTACTTAGTAGGCCTATTACACAATGAAACAAGTCTTGACAGTCAATAAAATTAGGGAGACATCAAAATACTTAATATTTATTGAGGAATTAATTTTATA